GGCTCAGACTGAATAAACTATGAGTTCTTCAAAGAATCCGAACGTATTCCAAGAAAAATTTAGCCTTTCAGTGAATTATCAGATCTTGCAAAGAGGCCCAGATAGCCGAGACCACATGGGACTTCACTTTCTACTCCTTCAAGTAGTTTATTCGTAGAAGCTAGAATTTGCCGAATCGCTAAGCCAGTGTGCCCCGAATTCTTTCTTTGAAAATGGTGGTTCTTTGAATAAAAAAATTAAAGGCACAGCTCATGAAAAATTTCCCAATTTCCGGGATATCCCCTTAGAATGAATGTGTGGCATCCAAGTATGGCATATTTGGCCCTGTCAGATTGCAGAACTGCCTAGAAATCGCGTTGTAAGGGCTTCAAGATAGCATGTGCTGTAGATCCCACCCAAAGGCGGACGAGTTTTACTAGCTTGTGGAGACTGTACTATTCACAAGGAACACTCATGTTGGAAGTTCAAGCAATTATCCGTAACTCATGACGAGTGTGGAGGGCAGTTTTGAACGTTTCCGACTCATTGTAGGTAGCTCTTCAGGCAACAACTAAAATCTCGCCTGTACACCCCCTCCATGCTGTTCCGGTGGAGGAAATCTCGGAAATCTCGTACAATCTCCGTTTTCAGTACTTTTAGGAAGCCTTATCTGTCCCGAATTGAGCAAATTTTCTCCCTTTCTTCCACCTATTCGCTATTCTCCTTCAACACTTCCGCTATTCAACTTGAAAAGAGTACCTCAGAGCTATGGCGAACTGGTGTACCTTCAGTCAATGAGAGCATTCCCCCCCTCAGGTTACTAGAGTAAATAACTCGCTCTAATCACTCGGCATTCTGTGAGAGAATCTGCAGCTGTCTAGGAACTCCTCCACTATCCCACTGTCAAGTGTTATGGGAAATCTCCCGAGAACCTTGAACTTCTATCTGTTACCTCGATGAATTCCGGTCCCCGCAGCGCTGTCGAGTGAATGACCCCATCGATGTGGCTGTCGGACAGCAAGCCGTCCAGACTTGTCATGCATGCGATCGTTTTATGAAAATATTTTATGAACTATTTCATCGTTATGAACATGGCTGCAGGCTAGTTTCCCCATCTTAAGGCGAATCATAAAACGATTTCCTGCAGTCCGACAGTGGAATAGGGCTCTATATAACTCGTTTCAGTGGGTTTTTGCGGTCAATTCAAGAGATCTCGCCAAGTAATCTCTGGGGAGCATTTCATCTGCTGAAAAAATGCTTTTTAGCAATCAAACAAATGCTTTTCAACTGCGTTTTTCCAGAAAATGATCGCGTTTTAATAGCAGTTCCACAGGGGCATTCAAAACTGCTCTTGCTGTGAGCGTATTGTTTGGTATGAAGACTTCGAAAACGCGAAATAGCCGGAAATCGCTTGAGGCTGAGACAAAGTAGATGCTGGCTTGACATGGAATACTGAAATATTCAGTTTGCACTTCAGTAGGTAATTCTGGACGACAGCAAACTTGCCATGCATGAATGAAGCCGACAGCCGACTCTCTAGCCTCCATAAATGGGCTCAGGTCTTCTGTCAGTGAGAATATGCATTGTTGGACAAGGGGTGTGACGTGTGACTTGCCACCATGCAGATGGATATGATGGAGCGACAAAGCTTGATGAGAAGATGGAATCAGTCTGACAAGGTCTTGGTGTTGAAGAATAGGCACACATGGGAAAACAAAGCATCTTGCCAACGTCAACCCAATTCTGCCCATCCCAGAATTCCAAGGGCATATGCACAGATCCGCCCCTGTGTGTTTAGCGTTGTCTGAACGACTTTTCGGGAAAGGATTTTGATACGGAATAGGCGATTTCTTCGAAACGAAGAAGAATTTTCGGGTCTGTGAGGTATGTATTAATGATATATGGCCCGATCACCTTACCTTTTGATCTCAGAACCACGTGAGTGGGTCCGCCATAACCCCTTAAAGACAGGTCATGAAAATTTTGGGGTTTTCAGTTCTAGACGAGTAATGGAAGCGCAAGTCCAGAGCTTTGCGAAAGTGGTGAAGAAAATCGGCGTAATTACAGAAGTATAAGGTTTCAAAAAAGAAGTAAAGTCAGAGATTGGAAGAGAATGCCCACTCACGAAAAAAGCTCAGTGAAACGGGTATTTGGATAAGCAGTTCGAATGTGCACCACTGCATACAGCTAGCTGTCGTAAGCTGCCTGCGTGCAAGGTGTGGGTCCCGGTGCGAATAGTGGACCTCTACTGCTTTAACAACGCTCAAGAACACTACCGCCTTGGGCGTCTACGTCGGCTGGCTTTCAGGGCCCTTGTTACGCTCTGCCTTGGCCGTTTTTCGACCCGACTACTTTCCTTGGGCTATCCCCGAGGAATTAATTGTTCAGTTGAAGTGTGCCTTTGAT